TTCTTCCTACTTTTGTACCCTGGGTATAGCTCAAGACATTGTAAATATCCGGATACATCAGTTGGCACTTTACGGTACTACTTACACGAGGAAGTTTTTTTATTCATACACAGAAGTCAATTTCACAGATAATTTTGAGTTATGAACAGTTTTGGCACACTTGATCCTGAAATTTGATTGGCTAGTGAAATTGATTTAAAAAACTTAATCAAGCCAATCAAAATTCAGACCAAAAAAAAAATAAATTCGATTCCTGTCAGACAGATTGGGGCCTAGTAAATCTTTTTTTCCTTGCAATAATGGTCATTATTAATAATGATAACAATCCGAATTAACTCAAAAGAAAAAAAAACATTCTAACATGATTATTTACTCAATAATACCACCTAGAAAAATTAAAAGAAGCATTAAAGTACAAACCAATTGGTTGAACACTTTCAGCAAATCTCCGCAATTTTGCTTTATCCAACCGATCCTTACGTAAAGAAACTCTTTGAAATTGAGCGGCTTTACGAGAAGATGGATGAAGTATTGAACCTTTTGTTTTTATTTGTTTAAAGGTTTTCCGCTTGTTGTTCGGCTGTCATTTGAAGAATAGAGTAAATAATCATGTTAGAATGTTTTTTTTTCAGATACATCTCCCGTAACGATGATGAACTCTCCAAACTCAAGTCATCAAAAATTAATGGGGCTGTCAGGTCTAAAACAGCAAAAGAAGATCTTATAGAAGCGTTAAAATTGAAGGAGCAAAGAGAATATATTGAAGGATTTGGTATGGAAAATAGTGAATTGTTGTATTCCGAACAGATTAAGGTTATCTCAATCCAAGATTAGATTTAATGAAAGGCTTAAACATTAAATTAGAAATTCCGGATTTAATGAATGCAAAAAATGTTAAGATACTAAGGTATTTAATCTTCAATAATCTTACAATAATATTCATTTATTCATTTATGTATGATATATCAACTCAGAGAATGGGATGGAGACCCAAATTCGTTATCACGGATCAAGCTTATTCGAGTAGAAGATCCAAAAAATATGGATTTAAAGACAACGGTAATAAACTTAAAAAAAAAAGATAAAACAAATATGAAGAAAACGGTAATAAACTTGGACAAAATGAAAATTGGCAGTGACTCTGATAAAGAAGAGAAGGAAACTACAAAGACGATGGATCTTGATACATTTTGACCCTGAAGTTAAAAATAATTTATGCAAAATACGTCTTCATTACTATGAAAAAGAAATGTTTCATTATAGTACATTTAAATATTTCCTCCTTGAAAGTATCTTTATGAGCCTGTAGAATTAATTATTACACGGGTCTTATGTGACAACCCGTTCTATTTTCATTTGGTTATTGCACGGGATTGTTACGTCCAATAAATCTATAATTTATTTAAGATGTTTTCATCTCGAGTTTAAAAGAAGTTAATTATCATTCACAGATTGATGTATATTTTAGCGATTTTATCGATCAAAAGTTTACGATCTTACAAATTTTAGGGTTAGACAATCTTTATTAACTTATGATTGAGGTAGGGTTGAATAACTACGTCTAACTAAAACTTGTTTAAAAGTTGTTGCTAAATAAACATTCACTTAAAATTATATAGTTGGCGGGGTATCCAATGCCTATGTTATTAAATAACAGATTCCATTAGACAATACACATTCATATTATATTATAAATGGCATGCCTGGTATTTTAAGCATTTTAGGCATACCATGACCTTGCATGCCATGGTGGCATGCCACATTTGTCACGGGCCATTCTAACTAGCAAAATAATAAAATATGTAACTATGTATTATTTTGTTGAATTTGGCACAAATCAATGCTAAAATTAACAGCAATGAACAGCTGGTGCATATCCAGCTACAGCCAGTATCGGTGGATCCCAAAAAACTTCTGAAACTAGGATATTAATTTGAAACGCGGGAAGACCAAAACATTACATGCATTAGGGTTGTTTTCTCGATTATGAGTCCCAAATTCCCACTAAAAATATTGTTTTTAAGTTCTGAAATTAAATGATTAAGGGTAGGGTAAACGTAGATTTTTACATAGTAAATAAAAAAATGCTTCTGATAAAACTTTTTAACACCTTAATTAATATGTATCAAATTTATATGATATGTAGTTTAAAACATGTTGATTATGATAGTGAAGTTGCGCAGTATGCATTGCTTTAAAAATTTTAACTTCACATATAATCAAGGTCGCTATATGTTTTTCCTAGATGGTACAAAGAATTGCTAATTTTGATTGGCTGAATCATATGATGTTTATATGATATCAAACCATATGATATTGGTTACACAATGTTGATCTACAATCTATTTTATCCTACCCTTAAAAAAAAAAAATACAAATTAACAAATTAGTATTTACCTCTTGGTTAGAGTGGGAGGCATAAACAAATTTATTCATGTTCAGCTTGGGCATAAAATTATACTTGAGGCATGCCTAGGCATGCCCTTTGGCATGTTTAAATTGGTTTTTTTTTTTTTTTTTAAAAAAAAAAAAAAAAAATTATCTGATTGTTTAAAATTAATTATATAATATATTAATGTCTATATAGATATATAAAAAAATTTCATACCTATAGGTATGCTCAGAGCATATGCCCGCATGGGCATGCCTATGCCTTCATGCCTCCACCCTACTTTTGGTGCTTGCTACATCCTGTTACAACCTGGCTGTTCATTTTTTATATAACTTAATCTTAAGTACACATTATATATAAACTTGATTTATTTGTAATAATTATACCAGAACATAGGATCAATTTTACTATTACATAATTTTTGACATCTATCAACTAATCAAAGATTAGGATTAGATATAATATAAAAAAATTCAAAACAAATGTTCATTTTGCAAAAATATATTTATCTCAAAATTTAGTCTAGTAAATTATTTTTGAAGTTTTTATAAAAAAATTTTCTTGTGCAATTTGCTATATTATTGTTCCTTTTAATCTTAATTTACAGTATATTTTAACTCAAGTTTTACCTTAACAATATTTGTTTTTCAACTATCATGTAATAGTAAAATCAACCCTATATTCTGGTGTAGTTAGCCAAGTCAATTAAGCAAATGAATTTATAGTAGTTATATAGTAACTTTAAATAATTAATAAAATAATATAATTAGAGATATAGCAACTTAGTGAAATTAGTAAATTGTTGCATCTCTAAGTAGCAGGACAAAAGTTCGAATCTCACTGATAATAAAATTTGAATTTTACAGAATGTGTTATAGCAGACTATGTATAATCTGACAGGTTAGCATCTGCAATCTTGGTTATTAATGTTCCAAGTTAATAAAAATTTTGTTAATTAATTAGATGTTAATTATAGTTGCAACTAATCTATTTTTCATATCACATAATCTTATTAGGTAATTAGCCAATCAAACCAAAGATTTTAATATGAAACAGTCTGATTAGACAGAATATATTAAAACTGTACTAGATTGATAATTAATTAATTAGTTATTTTAAATTTTTTTAAATCAATTAGTTAGAAAGTTGTTAATTAGTTAATTTTTCAATTAATAATTTGGATTACTATTAGTTATACCAGCTTGTACTAGGAGGTTGTAGAACATTAGTGTAATATATAAGTTGCACAAAAGCTGAGTGAAGCAGCCAGATCAATTCAGAGATTAGGGCATACAGAAGCTTGCTTAGCAAGCTTTAAGTAGAAAAGTAACACAGATCTTTGATAGTACTATATAAAGAATTATCTAAATGATTCAGACACCAATTTCAGTAATCTGAATGAGGATCAAGTATTTAGCAAGACACTATACCAACCAGATTACCAGACAAGTAATCAAAAGAAAAAGATCAACTGTAAGAACCAGGAGCAGGTTACAACTTTTCTAGACTATCTGGATTAGGAGTTTGGATTACTAATAGAACTTAGATACTGGTGATAGTTTGTATAGTAGGTACTGAGATTTGGATAATCTCTACAAGACCAGAAGTAGATAATAGTAGCAGCTTTGGCTCACAAGTATTTGTCTTTAGACTTGACATAGTTATCAAAGTCCAGGTTAGCTAGATTATGGGTATGAAAAGCTCAGCAATGATGTCTCGAAGATAAATTACTTCTAAGAAAATAGAAAAAGATCTGAGACTTCTTAACTGACAAATGTAACAGAAATATACTAGTCATATAAGTATGTTGCATTACAGAGGGTTTAAATAGATAATTCCCTAGTTGGGTTATAGATATGACAAATAGTGTAGTCTTTACAGTATAATACTGATATGCAAACTACTTAAATAGACAACTAAAGTTGTATATATAGCCAGTTATACTTTCTAATATAATAGAAGACTCTGTTATAAGCCTTTTTACCCAATACTTGAATAAAAATCTTAGCTTCAAAAAGGCTAGTTAATAAAAAAAATAAAATAAAATAACATAATTACTTTTTTTTTTTTTTAATATTAATGGTAAGGCCATGCCTCTATCTTTATTGAATATTTAATTGAGATTATTACATAAAGTACTAATCTACTTTTAAAATATTATAAGAAGAATAGAAGCTCAGACTAGTTTATCTGCGATCTAAACCAACTGGAGTGGCCAAGGCTTACCTAGATTTGGGTATTAGTAATATAAGAAAGATTAAATTGGTATTTGATCTAATGTATATACCAAAAATTTATCTTGAAGCTAATAGTAGTAAAAGGAAGGGGTTGAGATGTATGCGAAGAAGGATTAGAAGGTAAATTATTAGTAGAAAAATGAATTGTTGATCTTGAAATACAGTAAGGAATCCAGATTTTATGATAAACTTGTTGATTAAGATAAAGTAGAAATTTTATAACAAGTGTTGTAGCTATTTTTTAGATTGATAAGTTTGAAATAGAGGTGATAATTTCATTTGGTACTAGGCCTGATAAAGTTGAGAAGACTGAAGATGCATCTGGCATACTGTGTATAGTCATGCAGTCTAATTGCTTGATCTGATTGTATAAGTTAGTTATAATATCTTGAGTAGTATCGAGTGTAGTTGTGTTAAGAGTATGTTGTAATGAATCATCTATAAGCTTATATAGTAGCTGATTAGATGGACAAGTTATCTAATAAAGATGAGAGCTGATTTGATGACATTGATGACAATTGGGTGAATATGAATAATATCGTTTGTGTAGAATATGTAGAGAAGGAAGGTTATCTAATAAAATTTTAATCCTAAAGGATTTAAGAGCAGAAGATTGAAAACTGTACAAAAAGTTAGAAATTTTTTGATTGTTGTTAATATATAACCAGGTAGCTTGTCAATTAATTTGGTTAAAAATTTTGTTTCATTTTTGAAAATGGTTTTGTGTTATTCAAAGTGCATAAATATAAGCATGACATATTGTTCTAATACTACAGCAAGTAGATAATTCTAGAGGAAAGTTTTTAAGAATTAAAGTATAAGATGAATTATAAATATTATAAGGTATAAATATAAGATATAGTAGGTTATAATGGTTGTATGCAAGTTAGTCAGCAAGATTATTATAATTATTTTCTTGATGAGCAGTAACTTTATGAAATATAATGTGAATATTATAAGATTTGATAAAATTAATAATTGTATTTATAGAGAAAAATATAGTGTATGTATATGATAGAGTGGTAGGAGAATGTGCAAGGTTTTGATATTTAGAAATTACAGATTGAGAATCAGTATATATGCTTATAGTACAGTTTCTGGGAGCAGTAATAAGAGCTGATAAAATAGCTACAAGTTCTGCCTTAAATGAACAAAGCCACAGTTTTGTTTGAGTATGAAATGTATGTAATATAGAGTTGTTAGAGATTTGAACCCATCCAATACCCATAGAGCATTGTAAAGTTTCTAAATCAACAACAGAACTATCAGTATAGAAGTGAAGTTCAGATAAAGTAGAATTGTAGTTGGCGATCTGTTGAAGATTGTTTATTGATAAGCTAGGTTCAAAAATTGTTGGAATAGAGTGTGTAGCAATGTGAATATTAGATAAATTTGGAGTTTAAATAGGATGTCTAATTGCAATAGAGTATATAAGGTCTAAATGGTTGGCATTAAAGTTAAGAGCTTTGTTAGATGTATTTACTCAACCAAAGAATTGGGTTGAAAGATTAATAGGAATAATAACTATACATTTGTTAGTAATTATTTGGGAATTAAGAGAACATCCGGAACATATATATGATTGAATAGATAAAAGAGGATAGAGGCAAGTAAATTGTGACTCAATATGGTATTGCCAGTGAGTAATTAAAATATTTTCAGACAAAGAAGATTGTCTTCTAACTTTGCCAACAATAATTTGATTATTATGTACTGTAATAAGCCATGGCTTTTTCTGTGAAGAAAAGTATCCAGTTGTATAACTATAATAGTTTGTTTAAGGTAAGTGTAGATATTGATAAAGTGTGCAAATAGAAGAGTGACTAGTGACTAGATCTTCTAAGTAAATAAACCAGAATAGTTGTTTGCCTTTTGGTATTTTGTGTATACAAGGAGATATATATTTCTAGTCTAATAAATATGAATTGTCAAAAGTAGTAAGTTGGTCAAGATATAAAATATAATGATATCTAAGTTGCTTTTTGAAGGTTGAATATTTAAAATGTAAAGAAAGCAGAGATTCTAAAGAGACATCAGAAAATTTTAAAGCCTGATTTTAATTAGTTGCAAACAGTTAATTGATTATAATCAATTGGCTTTAAGCGATTATAACTGACAGTGATGTTGATAATTGATTTATATCAAATTGATAATAATCATTAATGATAAAAATTGATACAATTTAAGGGTAGGGTGAATGTAGATCATTTGTCATATGATCTCATATACTAAAAATTTTTTATACCAAAATTAAGCATATGCTATTAGTAAAAGTTTTTAAGGCCGCAACTAAACTTTACCAAAACTT